GGAACAAGATAGAAAGCCCAGAGGTAAACCCATGCACCTATGGTCAACTAATCTATGACAAAGGAGGCAAGAATATACAATGGAGAAAAGACAGTCTCTTCAATAAGTGGTGCTGGGAAAACTGGACAGCTACATGTAAAAGAATGAAATTAGAATACTCCCTAACACCATACACACAAATAAACTCAAAATGGGTTAGAGACCTAAATGTAAGACCAGACACTATAAAACTCTTAGAGGAAAACATAGGAAGAACACTCTGACATAAATCACAGCAAGATCTTTTTTGATCCACCTCCTAGAGTAATGGAAATAAAAACAAAAATTAACAAATGGGACCTAATGAAACTTAAAAGCTTTTGCTCAGCAAAGGAAACCATACACAAGATGAAAAGACAACCCTCAGAATGGGAGAAAATATTCGCAAACGAATCAATGGACAAAGGATTAATCTCCAAAATATATAAACAGGTCGTGCAGCTCAATATTAAAAAAACAAACAACCCAGTCCAAAAATGGGCAGAAGACCTAAATAGACATTTCTCCAAAGAAGACATACAGATGGCCAAGAAGCACATGAAAAGCTGCTCAACATCACTAATTATTAGAGAAATGCAAATCAAAACTACAATGAGGTATCACCTCACACCAGTTAGAATGGGCATCATCAGAAAATCTACAAACAAATGCTGGAGAGGGTGTGGAGAAAAGGGAACCCTCCTGCACTGTTGGTGGGAATGTAAATCGATACAGCCACTATGGAGAACAGTATGGGGGTTCCTTAAAAAAGTAAAAATAGAATTACCATATGACCCAGCAATCCCAGTACTGGGCATATACCCAGAGAAAACCACAATTCAAAAAGACACATGCACCCCATTGTTCACTGCAGCACTATTTACAATAGCCAGGACATGGAAGCAACCTAAGTGTCCATCAACAGATGAATGGATAGAGAAGATGTGGTACATATATACAATGGAGTATTACTCAGCCATAAAAAGGAACGAAATTGGGTCATTTGTAGAGATGTGGATGGATCTAGAGACTGTCATACAGAGTGAAGTCAGAAAGAGAAAAACAAATATCGTATATTAACAAATATATGTGGAACGTAGAAAAATGGTACAGATGAACCGGTTTGCAGGGCAGAAATTGAGACACAGATGTAGAGAACAAACGTATGGACACCAAGGGGGGAGAGCGGCGGGGAGTGGGGCTGGTGGTGTGATGAATTGGGCCGATTGGGATTGACGTGTATACACTGATGTTTATAAAATGGATGACTAATAAGAACCTGCTGTATAAAATAATTAATTTATTTATTAAAAAAAGAATAATGATGGCAAATGATTAAACACTGAATAAAAAGCTAATCCATGAGTCTATAGTAACATTAAAATGGGGTAGCGGGGGAGTAGGGAAGTATTTCTTTAATATATGTAATATGTTAGTCAGATTGACAGGATTAGAAAAACACCCTTTGGTGACCACCAACGTCATCACGGATTCAGCAAGGATCATCAGTGGTGCCCGAATCCCTACATAAGAGTCTTATGGAGAACAGGATTCCCGCAGGGTGCCCAACAGCTTCTTTACTCCAAGGACCCTAAGGGCAGAGACCGGCAGACACTGTCTTCACCACGTCAGCACTCTCGGGAGCCCCGTCACAGGCCTAACTGCATTCCCACTCCATCAGGTCGCCTATGTGCTCGTCTTGCCAAGACATTTACCCTGAATCTAGTGAGGAGAAAACCACGAGACCCATCCAGAGCATTCTACAAGACAGCTGGAGCACACAGCCTGCTGATGTGTCCCTGCGAGGAAGGGTAAAAAAGGTGGGGGGATATAACTCTAGAATAAAGGGGACAGAACTAAACGTGATACATGATCCTTGGCCAGCTCTGGATTTGAGTGTGGGGTATGGAGGTAAAAGAAATGTTGAGAAAACCAGGAGAATATGAACATGACTGTACATTAGCTAATAGTATTGGACCGCCATTAAATTTCTTGGTTGTGGTAGTGGCACTGTGGTTATGAGACTTTATCCTAGTTTTTAGGAAATTTATACTAAATTGTTTTAGGAAGAAAAAGCCAGAATATCCACAACTTGCTTTCAAACAGTTCAAAGGGAAAAACAAGCATAGATAAATACTTGAAAATGGAGGAAAGGGCCTTCCCTGGAGGCGCAACGGTTGAGAATCCGCCTGCCAATGCAGGGGACACGGGTTCGAGCCCTGGTCCGGGAAGATCCTATATGCCATGGAACAACTAAGCCCGCGCACCACAACTACTGAGCCTGCGCTCTAGAGCCCATGCTCCGCAACAAGAGAAGCCACCGCAATGAGAAGCCTGCGCACTGCAACGAAGAGCAGCCCCCGCTCTCCGCAACTAGAGAAAGCCCGTGTGCAGCAACGAAGACCCGATGCAGCCAAAAATAAATAAATAAATGTATTTTAAAAAAAAAAGAAAAGAAAATGGAGGAAAAGTAATATATCTATGAATTTATGATCATATCAAAATAATATGATATCTGGGACGTGCTTCAGAATAATCACGGGAAGAGAAGTAAAGGCACAGGTGAAAAAAGCCTAAGCGCCTGGCAATCAGCGCTAAGAGCGAGAGACGGCAGGTAGAGGTGCACTGTGCTATTCACTTGATTTCCGGGGTTTGCGTAGGAGCCTCCCTGCTCTGCACGCAAACTCTCCAACGGTTCACTTTCCCATGTGCGGTGAACTGACCTGTATTACTTGCATTTTTAGCAGCTTCCAAGGAATCTGGAGGAACCCCATCTGAAAAACTAAAACAATATATTTAAAAAGTATTACTCTAAAAAAAGTTTCACAGATAAATAGCACAATGGCGTTTTAAGAGGTGTCTCCACAGTAACTTCAGATTTGAGCAGAAGACAACTACAGACACACACATGTGTTACCTATGAAATACTTTCCTCACCATTATTAAAAAAAGCCACCTTGCCAAGCTGTTAGGACACAGTGCCCACAGTGGCTCTGTGGGACAGCCACACAAAGTCTCTAAAAACATAAAGGTTTTTAGTATCAATATATGACACACTTTTCACATCTAGAGCAAGTTCTTTATGGGCTCAAAAACACAGAGGGAAAAAAAGAGCCGTCAGCTGGAGCACCTAATGATGTTTACAGAAATAAGGCTTGCCTCTTGCTCACCAACTAAAATTTAAACTCCAATAAACAAAGTCCATTTTGGCTTACCTGTTATCTGCCATCTGAATGTTTTTATCTCCTACAAATTAAAAAAGAATTAACATTACTAAATATTCACAGACAAAAAATTTTCAAATGTACTCTTTTCACAGTGATTTTCAGTGGGGGATGAGGACCTCGTAAGGAGGGGCAGGAGGGACTGCTCTGGGGTGATGGAAATGTCAAGACCTTGAATGGGGTACTGGTTACTTGCATATACACACTTGTGAAAACTCATCAAATTAAAAACTTATACGCCTCTCAGTGCAAGCACATTTACTCATAAAAAATTTCTCTTGTTGGCACTAAAATGACCAGACTTCAGAATAAAGACAATTCATCAATTTTAACTTGCCTTATGTCTATAATAAGTTTCAGAAACAGAAACATTTATTTACGCTAGACCAATTATTTTAGAGCAATTCAAAGAATTTACTGGTGCTCACATTGCCTTTCAAACCTTAACTCAGAATGATTTTAAAATTTTGTTTATTCTGTATGTTCTACTACTTCTACACTGAAGATGCAGTACTTGTGTAAAAACATCATGTAATACACTCAATTATTATCCCACTTTTACAAGAGACATATAAAAAAAGATTATCTCCAGATTAGGTGACTTTCTACCTATAAATATTAAAGGTGGGTTCTAAGACATTTATGACTTAAATAGAACTTGATACTAGTACAATTTCAAAGCCCTATCTAAATGCAGAGCTAAAAACAGTCAGGTTTGGTGATCACATTTCCTTAGTCCTAAATGTAGTAAATCCACTTCAGATGCCCCTCTGAAGGGTGGTTTCAAGCTGACAACTGGTCGATGACTCATTCTTAGGTATCTGAGCAAAGCCCAAACCCCTTAATCAGTGCTTCAGGGTCAAAGAGAACAATAATGCTTCACAGTTAGGAAATATAGCTCCAACTGGAATTTATGAACTACGATTGTTTTAAGTGCATCTTTCTTAGGTAATTCTGTTTCAAAATAAAACATTGTAATTACTTTAAAAATTCGAAATACTACATAAATGTTACATTATCTTTTTCAAAAAGCTAAATGATTTAAGGAAACAAATGAAAATCAGGAGGGGAAAAACCCTCCAACGGTCCCCATCACCTTCTGCTGAGTCCAAAGTCACTCCACACAGAAACCCGAATTCCTGCACCTCCCAGCTTAGCTCCTCCGCAATCTGCTGCATGCATACAGCCGCATCCGGGCTATTCCCAAGCTTTTTTTTTTTTTTTAAATAAATAAATTTATTTATTTTTGGCCACGTTGGTTCTTCGTTGCTGCGCACGGGTTTTCTCTAGTTGCGGTGAGCGGGGACTACTCTTGGTTGCGGTGCGCGGCCTTCTCATTGCGGTTGCTTCTCTTCTTGCGGAGCACAGGCTCTAGGCACGCGGGCGTCAGTACTTGTGGCACGCGGGCTCAGTAGTTGTGGCTCGCGGGCTCTAGAGCGCAGGCTCAGTGGTTGTGGCGCACAGGCTTAGTTGCTCCGCGGCACGTGGGATCTTCCTGGACCAGGGCTTGAACCCATCTCCCTTGCATTGGCAGGGGGATTCTTAACCACTGCACCACCAGGGAAGCCCAATTCCCAAGCTTATATTCTGCTTTTTCATATATTACAAATGCGAAACATGAGACAGGCAGGTCTTCAAAATAACATCTGATGACAACATTTTAAGAGCTAATACACTTACCTTTTACCAGTTGTTAAATACAACGGGTATTTCCCCCCGATATACTTCGGATAACATCTACATGAACACATCTTAGTTTACATGGCTTCCCATTCCAAGTAATTCTTTATTTGGCAATAGTAGGATTGTGACTGTAGGATTTCTGGGTCAAAGAATAGGAATGGATACTGACACCTACTGCCAAACTGGTTACACACTGAAACCAACTACAATTTGGCTATGTAATTAAAGTCTCCATTGTCTAACAATTATGTCCACCAGCACCTTCTGTGTAGACCACACACACCAACTGCTCTCTCTTGCAGCAGCTGTCACTGCCAGCTTAACGGACAAAGTCCCGTTTTCCCCACCCAGTCAAGCCACACACCTAATTCCAACACCTTCTGTACTAGCAAGGTCCCCATGTGACAGGCAATTTCCCACAATTTATACCCACAGCAACTCTGGCAGGGAGGGTGCATCCCCAGTGCACAGAAGAGGACACTGAGGATGGGAAGGGTGAGGTGACTAACCCAAGGTTACCTGGCTAGTAAGGTGTGGATTGGGGTTTCTTTCAACCTAAAAGAAAGGAGGTAAACTAAGGCAAACTCCAGTTACCAGAAATGGAGTTTATTTGGGAACAGCAGAGAAACTGCAATTCAGGACACACATACTGAAGCGAGCTACAGGTGAGTTCACTGAAGGCTTGGGGTGGGTTGCTTCTTTGGGCAAAGAGTGCAAAAGGGGAAAATCCAATTAGGGACCATGCAGCAAGTGGTTCCAAGATGCGGAGAAATTCCTGGCAGATGCTCACTGGTTGGAGGATAAATTTCGATCTCTCATAAGTCAAGCATTTATGGCAAATCAGTCCCACCATCTTTGTTTTCTGAGGGTACATGTTTTCTGAGGGTGCATGCGCAAGAGATTCTCCATTTCACATCCTTCCGTTCCATTTTAGATTAAAATCCTTTCACATCCCCCCCTTTTGATTAAACTCTTTCACAAAAAGCACCGCTCATCAGTCTCACCGTGTGGGTATCTCACTTAGTCAGAGGCACCACGAGCTGCACGTGGATTATGGGTCTCTCCGAGCTGAGGAGGACCATCCTCAGATGTCTCATCCCACGGAAGAGGAAAACAGCAAGCAGATACTTGGCCTCATTTGAACACAACAATTGAGAAATGGTGAACCTCAGTTATGTCCCTCTGACGTGGTCAGTTCAGTTTCCATGGTCAGCTGAGCTTCAGGATAAGCCTTTATTTTGCAGTTACATACAGGAAAAATAACTTTATTTTGTACACACACCTGGGAGAAAGACATTTGCCTGCTGATACAAAACAGGAGAAATTTAACCATGTGGATTATACCCATGGCCAGAAGTCCAATTATAGCTACTGACTAGAATAAACTTCTCAACCTGTTTCCCCAGCTGCCTACATTTAATAGGTCAAAAATGGCCCAGGTCCCGGGGGTATGGCCTATTTCAGTTAATAGTGTGATATTATCTTCCATTATTTTTATTATTTTTTTTAATTAATTTATTTTTGGCTGCGTTGGGTCTTTGTTGCTGCACGCGGGCTTTCTCTAGCTGTGGAAAGCAGGGTCTACTCTTTGTTGTAGTGCATGGGCTTCTCATTGCGGTGGCTTCTCTTGTTGCAGAGCATGGGCTCCAGGCGCACGGGCTTCAGTAGTTGTGGCACGTGGGCTTAGTTGCTCCGTGGCATGTGGGATCTTCCCGGACCAGGGCTCGAAACCGTGTCCCCTGCATTGGCAGGCAGATTCTTAACCACTGGGCCACCAGGGAAGCCCTCTTTCACTACTTTCAGTCCTTGTGTTAAGAACCAGGGAAGTCCCAAGACTTCTGAGCCTGTGCTCTAGAGCCACAACTACTGAGCCTGTGCTCTAGAGCCCGCAAGCCACAACTACGGAGCCCGTGTGCCACAACTACTGAAGCCCACGCACCTAGAGCCCGTGCTCCGCAATGAGGAGCCACCGCTATGAGAACCCTGTGCACCGCAACGAATAGTAGCCCCTGCTCACCGCAACTAGAGAAAGCCCGCGTGCAGCAATGAAGACCCAACACATCCAAAAATAAATAAGTAAATAAATAAAATTTAAAAAAACAAAAAAAACCCCAGCATTCTTCCTCAAGCAGGGCACAGGTTCCCCCATGCTATGCAGTGTGGAGGTTTAGGGCTCTGCAGTTTTGTAAGACAACTTCTGCTAGGCTGTCTACTTGGGTTTGTTGATATTCAAAAGCTCTGACATAAGCATTAAGGTGGCAGCCATGAATCTGAAGAGATTCTTAACTGCCTTTTCAAGTTCTGCTACTCCAACTCAAGGGAAAAAGTCCAAAGGGCAAATCCCTTTCTATCTACCAGGAGCGTATCTGTAGGCATCCACCCAAAATTGTATCCATCCCAGCTACGATGTGCTCTCTCAAGACGGCAGGAGAAGGAACCCAGATTGGGCCCAAGGGCGATGGAAGGCAGGGTTTTCCCAACTCCAGCATCAGGAGTGAGGACAGGGCTCCAAGCACACTTCCCATTTAGGGCAAGTGTGGGGTATGCACTCCTTCCACACAGAAGGAAATACCCAGTGTTTTCTAAAGACAGGGTTTTTTCTTTTCCTGGAATAAAAGAGATCTCAGGATCAAAACCAGTCATTTATAAACAACGCATGGTAAGTGGTTCTGTTTAGCACCGTGAGGATAGTTAGAGGAATATCTTAAATTTCAACATATTTGGAGTAACAGGGGAGTTTGGTTACTGTGGGTGAGGTTCTGATGGAGGCTGGGGATCTGCCAGAGACAAGCTAGGGTGAATTAGTTCCTACCACTCAACAGATCTCTGATCAGCTCCCCATGAGGCGCCACTGAAGACAGCACATCAGCTTTCTACTCCCTGTATCGTTAAAATTTTCATCACCCCACCAAAGAGATACATGCTGGAGGAGACGTCAGTCTCCTAGATTCCAGTGGGGAATGAACCCATGGCCATCTGAATCACATATAAGTGTTACAAGGGTGCAGGAGGTAGCCTAGAGATTCACCAGTCCCATTAATGCTTCTGGAACACTGGAAAGCTTTTCGGTAAGAGGCCAGGCTTAAGTGAGAGGGATTCCTTTAGGGGTGGGGCACCCAATGGAATGCTGTAATGTCAGGTGCCAATTTAAGTATAGCCACAAAGATGCCAAAGGAAAACCTTGTATCTCTGCCAGACAGGTTTCACCACCCTTCTAAGGATAATGGCCAGGCCTCCAGTTCAGGTTCATCATCACCAGCGATCAGTAAGGTTGGTGGAATGAGAGTTCTTGTAAGGTGGGAGCAAAGGGGTGCATTACAGCCAAACTAGAGGGCGGCA